CCAACTCGGCCATCTCACCGGTTGTGATTGTTGAAGTGTGTGACAGTACTACAATACAGATACCCAGGTCCTACCAGACAGAACCTAACCCAGTTATCTCTATCAATGCTTCGACGATTGAAACAACATACACATCAACGCGATGACCTTTGGCTTGAGAAACATATGCCTTGGAATATTCCAATCCTTAAGTTTAATCAGATAGTACGCCATTGTGATATGAAACAGTAAAGGCATCGTTATCTCGCAGTTTCAAATCACCATTCTGCTCCACGCTGAGCCAAGCTGAGCTCTCATTAAGTCTGGCGATACAGTTCCTAACCACCTACAGCCGTTTTCCTTGTCACGTAGCAGAGCTCAAGTAAATGGAAAAGCTACACGAAGAGGTCTTGCTACGGATCGCGGAAGACACAAAATGAAACCTGGTTAGTGTCATGAAGATGGAAGCTCAATATAGTATCTAGACATGTTAACAAGACTGGCCAACGTTTTGGAAGGATCAAGGACACGTCAATGCTCGACAGTTAGGGGCCAAGACTTGATAAAGGTATCAATGATAAGCCAGAGGCTATGCTCTAGTTATGAGAGTATGGTGCCTGAAACGATATGCTTGCTCCTTGGCGACAATGCCTAGGCCTCATCGTTCAACTTCGCCAATTCTTTCCATTTATCACATCGTTAGCCTTTGAAGCTATCCCATTCTTGTATCTCACAGATTTCGTGACCAGCATACCAAGGCTAGCTTAACCACCTCTCCGAACCCCCGAGTGACCGGAACCGTAAAGACCCACCTCCTCCGAATAACCCGGCCCCGTTCTCCAACAACCTCTCTACCAACCCATCTCCAAACCCCAGCTTCTCAGCTCAGCCTAACTCTTTCTAAAGACACAAGCATGGACATGACCCCAGTCCTTAACACGGACGGTGCCTCCGCGGTCAAAAGGAGATAGCTAAAGAAACCGATCCCTACAATACCAAGAACCTGTAAGCATTCCTTGCGAAACCATCACCAAGTTCGTCGAAGCGGCCATCAAGACCGAGATTATTCCAACGGCTTCACGGTCTCCAACTCCGTGCCCTCCTACATCTCTATCTGTACATAAGGTACGGATAGCTGTATCAAAACACTTATCTACCCCAAAAAGCTTATCACCGCCATCCTTGCTTATCACCACCCAGTTAGGACCTCCTCTCCAATCTTCGCTTTTCATACCACACCCCCTTCTAGAAACTGCCCAAGCTTCACCAAAGTCTCACTCCCCCTCCTTCTTTTACCTCCCTGCCTATGCCCCCTTTTTGCATCAGTGTCCCGCGCGATCTGCATGCGCTTCCCCCCATGTCTTCTGAACCCACGAGCTAATCCTTGGAGCAACTTTAAACGCAACGTTCAATAGAGGCACAGTTGATTCAACTAAGCTGCCGATCACGAGATCGGCAGCTGTAATCCATTGGCCGCACCTTGTAAAGACTGCCAGCCTTGATGCATTGGATCGGACTTATCACGATGGCGCAGTAACATGAAACTATGTACGTTCTACGTCACTAACCCGATGTGCAGTCATAGAAGTCGTCTATGTTGGGAAACTCATTGGTATACGAATGCAGTAGGATGAGAATTATACTCTATTGATTTCAACGATTTGAGATATATGTATTGTCCCAAAGTAACAGCTATAGACAGAAACTCTTTAGTTATCAAATCGATGGACACATCGGCGTGTTTCTCACAGATTGAAACTCACGATCATGTCAAAGCCACTACTTGATAAGTCACAGATTGACAAGAGAAAAGGGGTTTTAGTAAAATGAACATAGCTATGTTGGGTATAATTTCAGTAGCAAACTACTCAGTATGTATAAACAATCGCATGTTCTATGAACTCATCAAGATTTACGCCAGCGGCTACATTTCAAACGTGTTCCGGATATGCAAACCCAATTCCAATTTACTCGTCAGAGTATGTCTTCTTCTTGATACCGACGAGCTCTCCCATCTCCTGCCAGAAGCCCGTGGGGGGCGTTGTGATGGAGTTCTCGTAAGCCTCGATGACAGGACGCTCCCAAGTGAGATCAACCTCATGGGGCTTGAGCCAGCGGGTCTTCTTGTAAACCTTCCAGAAGATGAAAAGACAGGGCGCAACGAATTGCATGGTGTAGTTCTGGAAGAACGACTCGACGTTCCAGGGCTGGAATGATTTGTAGCCGTAGCACATAACAACGCAGAACTGGAAGACGAGACCAATGTAAGCGCAGTATGGCTGGAAGCGACCATAGTAGGGCATCTGTCGTCGGTCGACGCCTTGAGCTTTACAGGCGCGGTAGTAGTTGAGGAAGGTTACTCCCATCACGAGGTAGTTGATGAGACCACTGGCAGTCATGAGAGCGATGAGCCAGTTCAGGACCTTGGCGGAACCGCTGCCGCACTGAAGGAAGGAAAGCATGGGGAACAGCATGACGACACAGAAGCACCAGATTGGAACACCAGAGGCGGTTGTCTTTCGAAGGATTCGGGGAGCACGGCCCTCAAGAGCGAGACCGTAGAGCGATCGAGTGGCACAGTAGGTGTATGTGTTACCAGCTGAGAAGATTGAGGTGAGGAGGAGGGCGTTGACGATGTGAGGAAGGACGTCGACTTTGAGGATGCCCATAGCCATGACATATGGAGACGCCTCAGCAGTACCACTTGACTCAGTGCCATTAACAAAGATGTCAACGAGCTGGGGGTAGTTGTAGGGTACAATAACACTAATGGCGAGAGAGCCCATGATGAAGAAGAAGCAGAATCGGTAGTAAACCGTCTTAAAGGCAGCCTTGATGTAGACGGTGGGTCGCTTAGCCTCAGCAGCCACCATTGAGATATATTCAGGACCGACAACGGTGAAACCAGCACTCCAGAGCGCAGCAAGGAAACCCTCGAAGCGTCCCAGAGAGTCGGTACCATAAACGTCGGAGAAGAGGCCAGGGTTACTCCAGTAGCGGAAACCATAGGCATCGCCTTGAGGGTTGCCGCCGACCATTGTAATGAAAGTGAAGCTGAAGAGCATCAGGATAAGGATGACCTTGCCGCCCGAAAGCCAGAATTCGGCTTCACCGTAAGCCTTTACAGCCAAAATGTTGAGGAGACTAAATCACGCGAACGATTAGCATGCAATTCGTTATAAAACCGGACGCTGAACGACAAAGAAGACAAAGTCGTTTTGGGGGAGGGTTCTTACGCATATAGGATGATGACACCAATACAAATACCAGCTGTAGGGCCTGGGTCTGTAATCTTGGGGCTCCAGTAGGAAAGAACAAGGTTGATAGCAGTGATTTCGAATGGGATGAGAAGGCCTTCGTAAAGGAAGAAGTTCCAACCAGCCATGAAGCCAAGAGCATCATCGCACCAATAACCGGCGAGACGAATGAAGCCACCAGAAACAGGCATATAAGTAGTCATTTCGGCGATACCATTGTTCACACAGGCGAGAATACCGGAGTAGATTGTATAGGCGAGGAAGAGACCAAGAGGGCCACCTCTGGCAAGACCACCACCGATACTCACGAAAAGAGCTGTACCGATGGAGCCACCAATGGCGACGAGCTGAATCTGTCGGTTGTTGAGAAGACGGTGCAAACCATCAGCGTTGTCAGTGGTGTGACCAGCAGCAATGTCGCCATTGTCGGCGAGGTACTTTTCGCCGGCATTTTCATTGTTGTTCATGAACTTGGCGGAGTTCTTCTCCTCGTCGGAAGCCATGTTGAAGGGTACCACCAGTGAGGTGAGGCGAGAAGGCTATGATGGGTGGTCGGGATGAGGCTCAATAGAGCAGGTGTCTGAAGCACTTAAGCAGCAGACTTGGAGGTAACTAATATACCTTGAAGGCCACAAGGTATATGTAAGAGAGTCAAGAATAAAAGACAAGAGGAGAGGATGAGGGGGAGGGGAAGAAAAGAATCCCTTGGAGGTGCGGGCGTTGAAGGTAATAAATAAATGCGAACATGGGGGGGAAAGCTGTTTCTTACCTCTCGCATAGGTAGGTAGACAGAGAGAGAGGAAATGTCGAGTAAAGCTACCTACTACTGTCTGATCCTAGGATCCCACTAATACTAGGACTGCCTAGCGACTGGGACTAGGATGAGGAGGATTGGGGAGTACAACATCCATGGCTTGCTTGGTTGGGGCTGAGAGGAGTTGAGTAGAGAAACACTGCGCTGTGCTGTAACTGCAAGTGCGTAGTTGGCTGCACTGGTCCTGCCGTTGCAGTTTGCTTGCTGTTGACGGCAACGGGATACCTCTAATCAACAGCGGCCAGTCCGAACAAGGATTAGTTGGAGGAGGTGTGGAGAAACAAGAGCCAAACCCAAGTTGATTACATCTGCTTCAGGCTACTTTAATCTCGAGTATCCGCCCTAATGCGTGCGGTATAAAGGCTACCTCGGCTGAATGTAACAGGTCGAACAGACATGGATAAATTAAAGCAATTCAATTCGATCCTACCTCACACGCCCGCTCCAGTCAAAGTCGAGTCAAACAAACCAATCCTGGTCTGAGTTAATTTGTAGTTTCGATTTTTGTTGCTTTTACCTTAGAGAAACTGCCTACTACTGTATGTATCCGTAGCTTGCTCTGGTTTTCTCGATCCCACGATGTGTTTGAGATGGCTTCGATCAATCAGGAGGCGAAAAGGGTCGTATTCTGTGTAGCCATCATCTCTGTTAGGCACTTGATTCTGCTTCTATCGTACAATACTGCGCTCTGTGTATTGGTGTAGGACCCAGAGGAACGGTTCATCTCTTCTGGACCTACATGCAGTACTGTAATTCAACCCATCAAGCATGATGGACTACCCACGAGGCTTTGGCGTGTTGTATCCTCTAGGCATCTTACACTACTGTATCAACTTCCCCAGAGACAACTAATTCAAGTGGTTTCAGCTCTCTCCACTTGGTGCTACCACGGTCATAAGCACTGCCCTCCCTTCATGCACGCGAGCTTGAATGTATCTGCACTTTCAGTGTCACTTGGATTGATTCCTGTGCCTTGGTTTGACCCTGTCCAGGCCACTTCCGCGCTGCTCTATCCGCTTATTTACACTGGAGAAGAGGCGATATTTCCCTGATCAGTGGCGGCCGGCGCCTGGCTTGACAGCTCAAAACTTTGTACAGTTAACGGTTAGCCTCAAGATGGCTTGTCGGGTGGTTTTTGCGCCTTTGGATAGTTCCTTGTACCGACTCGAAAAGATACATGACCACCCATGCATCATCCTTCTCCACCCCCATAGAGAGGGGGTGGGATCTTCCCCACCATAGATATGGCTTCTCCACCCGGTTGTAGCGCATGTACCGTCTACCTCGTACATTGACTGCATGCATCCATGTCAGGATGCTTCCCCGACAGTTGGTCCACCCGTTCTGATAAGGAACCCTTGTCTTTGCCCGATAGCTGTTGGACCCTAAGCCCTGATAATGTATGTACTGCCGTACTTGTTGGATGCTGATCAACAGAAGGACGCCCATCTCACTCACAGTACCTGCTGGGCATTGTTAGCACCCGTCTTGGAAAAAGGGTCTTTGTCTGGGCAAACCGAGTCTCGCCCGATACATGCCAAGTCATGAACAACGACGTTTCCTTTCACCGGAATCTTTCAAGGTGATTAATCGGAAGTCGGGAGCAGTGACGATACAATTCAATACCGCCAGATGGGTAGCCTCCACTGAAAAAGCAGTGTGGAGCTTTCCCCAGTCTTCGCCACAGGTGGATGACCTCCACTGAAGCGGATGGATGGAGCCTCCATTATAGTGGTCAGTGCCTCTATGAAAGCCCCCGAGAGATAGGCTCCCTTAGCTCATCTAGCCAACCAGATCGACCAGATTCATGATTGTGAACTGTGCGGGAGATTGGCTGTTTGAATATTCCCGCAGTCGCACAGCGAAACCGAAGAGAAGAGAGATTCGAAAGTTGGATTGTTGTACATGAGGAATACTATTTCTGCATGGCTACAAATGCTTCCTTGGCTATTTAGATGACCTTTAGCATCCTTCAAGGTGAAAATAACTGCCTTCTAGGGTATCTGTACCCAACTCCAGGAACCTGGTTCGTCCTGACGTCATCGTCACAGGCTGCTCGTACTAGACTAAGGGTCGATAACACCTGCCGAATTTGGCGAGCCGTTGCTGAAGGGTGATTCTCTTTGTTTGCAAGGAGACAAGGAGACAGGGGACGAGGTTGTCAACGTCGTCGTCAACACATTAAGCCCACGCGACATCAAATTATCTAACCGCATTCGAGCCCCCCTTTCCGCGTTGTACGCACTGCCGTCCTTTCATGAGACGACAGCAATTAGAAAGTCATTCGGAGCTTGCTTCATCAAGCAACTTTATTGGATGGGTCGTGTGTGCGCTGCAGATCCCTCAACTACTGGGCTGTACTGACCCCGAACTAAGTTCCAGTTCTATGGAATCTGGGGTTTTACGAGGATCCTTTAGCATACCGAGACGAAGAGTTACGACAATCTCGATAGCCTAGTTTATCGGTTTTCGATGATCCGAATTGGGTCACGAGGTCTTGATCCTCTCGAATGATTCTTACATAAAACTCAACTTCCAGCGATGTACGTTTCAATTTGCCGCCCTCACACCAACTCTTACCACCATCAACATCGGCTCCTCCGCCACAGGCTTGGCGGTTGACGCACGCACAAACCAACCTCAGTAGATATCATCAGTTTGGTGTTTGATACTGAGCTATAACAGGTGTTCAATGACCGACCTCACCGGTCACGTGTCTTGGGGCAGCCCATAACCTGAGGAACGGAATGAGCGACGCAGCCAAGGCCAACCTGCACACCAACATCGTTGCCCCAGGTATCTGAGGTCATTCAGCTTCAATATGTCAATAGTGGACAGGGCCAGAACGATCTTTAAGAAAAAGCAATGCTTGAATGACAAAAATCGACTGTTAACACAAGGAAAGATTGACTGTACGAGAGGGCGCTTGACCATTTCACAACTGACTTTTTAGGTTCAAACCCAGATCCTGGGCATAGCCTTGGCCTGTTACCATCTTGAATCTCGTCTTATAAAGCCCAAAGAGTAATAGAAATCACTCTGAACCGTACGACAGTGAACTCAACAACTTGCCCCTGTCGCGTGGGGAAGAAGTCATAATGCAGCCAAGCACATACCGGCGTACTCTGTCAACCGAGCTGAGGGTGAGACAATTGGTCAAGGCACTGGCATCCCTGCAAATGGTCCAGACCCCAGCTGTTCATGAATCGGGCCCGACCAAGCAAGTTGGTATTACGGGCCGAGACATGCAACAAATGCAATTCCGTCAACTGCGTCTGGCGCGCCTGGCGTCAGTGCTTCCCTGGTTGTTTTATGGATCCTGTCTTACGGATACAACACGCTCCTTGCAGTACAGCCAGGCCAGTGCACTGCATCCGCCCGGTTCATAATGGGCCTGCCAGTACTGTATCATTATTATTATCGTCTCTAACGGAGGAAGCTCGGTGCACTACTAGGCATTTGTTCTACCAGCGTCCAATGAACCGTCTCAAACGCTCGATAGCTCGGTATTCATACAGGGATTCAGACTAGAATCCACTGTCAACTGCTTCGCTTGGGCGCGATTTACAGTTGGTGAAAGGCTGTGTCTGTTGATTCTTGGCACCGGAACTCTGGTTGTGGTTATGCCTTGGCACCAGAATGTAGATGCGGATTTGGCCGCTTGTCGCGCGCCGTACAAAGTACAGAGATGCCCTGTCATATTTGTCGTACTTTTACTGCAATGACTCAATTATGTGAACCTGTACACGCAGGCACAGCTGTGGTCACTACAGTATCAGTATTAACTTGCTTGCGTCTTGGTTCATCAACACTGCACGATTGTACGTTGGGCGGTTAATCACCATGACGCTGATGATGCTGTAAATCACTGCAGTTTCAAGAACTAAGCTTTTTCTCCAATTCGTGAGATATTCAAAGAGACGAATTGAAAACCTTCATAGCCTTCGGGAGGAATCCGAGTCCTGCGCTACGCAAGCCACAGCCATAATTTTCGCTGTACGGTCCAACATAATTGTCCGTACAATACTGATGGCACGGGCAAAACCGCAGAACATGAACTTGGGACTTACCGGCAGGCTGGCAGTTGAACCGTCTTTTTCACAGAGGCTTGTTGCGCAGTTTCGATTGGTACGTCCCTCTTCTCGCAGACCCCCGTTCTAAACGTCTTGGAGAACGTTTGCCGTCCCTTGTCGGAGAGCAATACGCCCTTCCCCGACTCTACCTAGGCACGGTGGACATAGGCCTATTCGGTCTAGATCAGGGACGGAAAAGTGGAAAGGAGCCTGGCAAACGGACAAGGAACCCAGTCAACTGTAACGGACCCTGACGTTCCCTGTTAAACGCAGGAGAGGACATGGAATGAGCATGCGCAGAATAAATGACGCTTTGCTGTTTAGACGTCCTGACCGTAAGTAAACCTGGCAGGCTTGGCCAGGTTGTCGGACGACAGTTGATGAGGGTATCCACACGATCAAAAGGTGTCGTATCGGTTCCTGACGCTCTCTATCGGTTCGTTATTAAGCCGACAATGAAAATTCTTCACTTTTTTTTCTTTCTTTTTTTCTGTGAATGAGACGACATATGATGAGAGATGGCAAAGAAAGTGCTGATATTTTGAAAGCCAAGAAATTCAAACCATGGTTTCTATATCGTAGCCAAGCAGCCAAGCGATCATTGTTCCAACTTGCC